TAAATAGTCATCTCTCGGAGGAATTAGTCCAGTCATCACCCGAAGACGATTGTAGATACTAACAATCGAAACGTCGTGAACTAACGTGACTTGGAATCTCTCCACTTTTTATTTTTATTTTCTTTTTTCTTTTCAATATTTTTATTTATTCAATTGTTCTATTTTTACTTGTATTTTATTTCACTATTATTTCATTTCAGGTTTATTTTGGTTAATATAATTCTTATTTTCAGCTATTCTTTTTTTAATTCTTCTTTTTTTAGTTGTTTCCGGGTTTTCAAAGTTCCAACTAGTGAAATTCATCATGAAACATTGTCAATCACCTTCAAACAATTTACTCTGTCTCGTATAATGATTGTACATATATGTCATTAAAAATCGTGTTACTCGATATTTATTTTCGATAGAATGAATGGAAAAAACCAATTTTCATTTCATGAAGGGAATTAATATTTCAATATCGGGTTCCTAAAAATTTGTTGTTGATTCTATAGGGAAGTTTATGCATATATTTGATTGTGTTGTGTACATACTTTTTGAGTGAATTTCACTAAAGGACATTTTTTTTAGTTACTAGTTGAGTACCCAGAGTTGATATGAGATTGTGTGGCAGTTGAAATAAGGTGACACTTCCAGCCTTCAAAACTCCAACAGCATGCATTTCGGGTAACAGAAACCTTCCTCACAGATTGGAGATGAAGAGCTATTACATCCCTGTCATCTCGAACATTCTGGAATGTTCCGGGATGTTCTCTAATGTTATTGAACCAAATCATTTCATAAAACAGCTGTTTCGGTGGATATTATTTCTAATTTCAGGTTCAAAAAGCAAGTTTCATTATATATCCAGAGAGCTTACGCGAACTTAAGATTGATTCATCCTCACCGAGCACACCTAAATAATCAGACAAAAACCAATTTATGCCAGACTTCATCCTTTCACAGTTCACCTACTGTTCAGCTGTATATTTTCCCTGTTTGGATAGTCTAGATGTATGCAGGATACAAAAAGTCCAAAATTCCTGTTTACGTAGGCTACATCTATGGCATCCGTAAGTTTCAGCATATTTCTCATAAGCTTTCTCAGTCGCAGTGGATGCCAATGAAGAATCGTTCCTTATTGCAATCTCTAACCTTATTTCACAATATAATCATCAACAAATCACCGCAGTATCTTTATGATGAAGTTCGATTTGGTGAAAATGAACATGAAGTGAATATCCGACACAAAAATACAATAACTGCCCCCCGCCACAGCACAGCACTGTTTGAGAGATCGTTCAGTTTTTCTGTCTACACTGAAACTGAAATTGAAACTGCCACATTTCAAGTTTCAGGCTTGTAACTGGCTATATGAAAAACAGCTGTCGTGCAACTAAAGTCTCGCATAAAATGCCAAAATTCAAGTCATTCTGTAAGCATTATGAATCTCCCCTCTTTAATTCCTTTAATTTTTTTTCTCTCTCTTACTACATAGGTACTATACTTTTTTGTACATCATATGTTCGATGAATACTTTTAAGTTTTGTATATTGTAAAGGAGTTGAATGCAAGAGCAGGATTCGGCGTGTTGCACACGCTTGTCTCCTGAACTCCGCTCCGGGATTTTACCAATCCCATTGTATTTTCCTTTATGTACTTTCTTTTTCACCTTGGTAAATGAAAATCATTATTATTATTATTATAAGTAGGCGAGGTCAGTTCTATTGAAACACACAGAGGCTCAAAGTATACTCAAAAGAGATGTAACAATTTTTCACTCTCCACTTTTCATAGATGTTCGAAATATGTACTCGAGATGTATCTTCAACGAATGAACTGTAGTTTTTCCTTAACGTTTCCTAACAACCCTCCCCCTTTGTGGAGAGCTCTTTGCTGACTGGACTACTATTATTTCTCCGGTTATATTCCTCCAATCATACAGAGTATCCGTAACGAATATTTAGAACTTTAATTTTTCATACAATCATACAATCAAACATCTGGAAAACATCGCGGGTCAGTATTCTTTTATTACCGACAATAACCATAATGTGGTTATCTGATATTATCAGATGTCAAATAATAGCGACTTTTTGGCATGAATATTCGTTGAAACGGCCGCGCATTATAACGATAAAAGAAGGTTTTGCTCGTGTATTTGCGTGCCAAATCCAGTGTGGACGTGATAAACGAGTCAATCTTTGCACGAAATCTAGTTTGCCATGACCGCCAGTCGGGTTATAAACATCAGCATCTAGTCTCTTATTCAGCATTCTGCTTTCTAAGTTGT